TGTCACAGGCTGAACTTAACATGCCTTTGTCCATCCCTACCCATTCACTCAAAGCCTGATTTATCACACAGCTTTCCCTGTGCAACGCAGGGAAACACCAGGACAATACAGCAGACAGCAAGTATCACACTCTATAGGAGTGATCAAAAAGCAGAAGCTGCCAAACAGCCCTAAGTCCAAAGAATCCAAGCAATCATTGCCCTTCATAAATCTTTAAGCTCCTCCTTAACTGTACATAAACATTTTCCTACTGACTATTGTCACATTTTATGCAATTATCACTATGCACTTCTGTGTTGGTTAAATATTTTATCCACATGCTAGGTGCACACACAAACTCCAGTCACTGAGAAGTATCATATATTCAGTTCACATCACCTCTAAATCACACAACTGGACACCTCTCTCTTGGTATCATAATCTTTGTACAATACCACACTGTTACACATAAACCTTCATTAGTTCTCTGATGGGCCACAGACATCCTGCTTGTCAGCTATCACCTAGTTGATAGCAGCCACATTTCAAAGCTCCCCATGACTCCAGCAGCATAGCTGCAGCAATTCCATTTCCCAATTTGCTAGCCTTCCTGACATATTCAACACAGCTGTTTCAGACTCCTCTTGTAACATCGGTCCTTTATTATTCCTGTAGTTTTTCCTAGAACTACCTAGAATGATTTGGGTTGGAAGGGACCTTAAAGACCATCTCATTCTAACTCCCCTGCCATGGGCAAGGAACACCTTCCACTTGTTGCTCAGTCCCCAGCCTGGCCTTGAACACTTTCAGGGATGGGGTTTCCACAACTTCTCTGGGCTACCTGTTCCAGTGTCTCATCATCCTCACAGTAAAAAATTTCTTTCTCATATCTAATTTTAATCTACCCTCTTTAGGTTTTCTCTGCCACTGTTACATACTGAGGTGAAGTTTCTCGGGCATCTCAAGAAGTGTCGCACACTTATTGCAGATCAGGTCCCAGCCCAGATGCTCCCAGCTGAGATGTCCTCCCTCAACCAGAGATACCTCTCTTGACACTTGCTGAGACCCCATCCATTATTTTCATGATGGTGCCAAATTGACAGACTAGAGACAAACTTGAACCCACTTACCCTCACACAGGCCTTTCTCCTTCCATGTCTTCCATAGCTGAATTCCCTATTCATAGAAAAGCTGTTGCATTACTTCCCAAGCTGAGGAAGCATCATTTATTTTCAGGCATTCAGCACTGATGCCAGACTCAGGCACCCTGGCTCTTTTAACAGTCAAGACAGAAAGCAGGAGCTGGGTGCCTAATTAAAAATCTGCCTCTTTTCCAGTGATTACATAAGAGCTTAGACTGCTAATTTTGACACCAAGGTTAAACTCAGAAAGTGAATTCATGACAATGTGTGGCCTGACACTCTGCTGGGTTGAATTCCATCCCTTTAGTATTACCTAATGGTACGACTAATTGTATAGTCATCCATCTAAAACTGCGCACTGGAAAGTAATCTCCTCCTCCCATCAGCAAATTTCAGTAGCCTCCTTTGAATACAGTATGACATGATGATATCAGCTCCAGAAAAGAAACCCCCAAAACAAAAAAGCCTCAATAAAACTAAACAAGTCAGTTCCCAAAGAATAATTCATCGCATATATCTGCCTCTTGCTGTCTCTCCCGTGCCAGTTCTTTGTGTGCATTTACAGTTCTTACACCAACCTAATTTTCTTCCACCTTGAATAGTAATTTTGATGCAGCACTATGTTAAATGGCTCAGTAGAATCCAGAGAGACCAGATCCAGCACATTTCTTTTTCTAGAAAACCTACTTTTTTATTAAAAAAAGATACTAGGTCAGTCTGACATGACCTATCTTAGCAAAATAGATCATGTTTCATCCTCCCTCCACTCAACTCCCATGTCTTTAATTATTCATTCCTACAAAAAATATTCTAAGGGTATTAGGGTCAAATTAACAAGAAAGCCTGAAGTTCCGTAGATCACATTTTCCACGTATCTAACATTCAACAGTATTGAGTAATAAAAATCCTCTAAAAAATCTTAGTAATGGATCTATATTTTAATTCCACATAAAAGTACCTTGAAGAAATTTCCAATTTGGGAACTCCCAATAGAGGAACTTAAAAGGTCACTCTGACAGCCAGAAAGTCTAACTGATTTTAAAATATGAGAGATGCAAAAACTGGATGCTTCTTCCCAGAAAACAAAAAGCTGTGTAAAATGATGAGTAAAACACCCAAGACTTCCTGAAAGCTCCTGAGACCTCAAAACCACGAGATTTGGATCAAGCCCTTGTATAACTTGATACGGGTTGGACTCAGTGGTCTTGGAGGTCTTTTCCAGTCTTCATGATCCTGTGGGAAATCCCAGTGCAAATCTGAGATGCTTCTGGGATTCTGTTATACAAGTCTCTAAGAGCTGCACAGTACTTTAAGTTCCCATCATTCAGTACAATTTCTTATATTCATAAACAATTAAATATGCTCATTTAGACTTTCCTATTAGTTGGGCCACTCAAGCATGTTACATCTGGAAAAGCTTTTGTGAAAAGGCATGACCTCTTTGATAAAACTTAAAGGCTTTTAAAAATAATAAATACACTACTCATTTCAAGAAAACTGTTCAAAAGGATGTAAGAACATTATTTTCTCCCCCCCCCCCCTTTTCTTGTTATTTTAGCACTTTTGTATCTCTACCAGCTTGACATACACATGTAAAAAAAAACACTTTAAAAGCACGCAAAACATTGCCTTACTCTGCAATTTTAAGCTCTTTTTCTGACCCAAATTTGCATTGCTATCCCTTGAGCTGAAAGTAATCATCTTGTTAAAAGGTGATATTTGTATATGTTGCCTCCTTCAGACAAATCCAGGCCTGAATTTTAAGACATGCTCATTGATTCATTCTTCAAACAGCAAAAGTGTGAGTTGTGAATCCTGGTGCTTTAGAAGTAGGTTTGTAGCTGTCTGCTACAATGTTCAAAAGCAAGTCAATGTTCAAAACAGGCAAGCAGTTAAGATTTCTTCTGAATATCATCTTCTACTTGGGTTATGCCTAAATTAACACTTATGGGACACCAACAGGAAAGGTGGAAATGGAAGGGCAGGCACCGACTTCTCTGCTGGCCAGTGACAGGACCCAAGGGAATGGCATGAAGTTGTGTCAAGGAAGGTTTAGACTGGATATTAGGAAAAGTTTCCTCACCCAGAGGGTGGCTGGGTGCTGGAACAGGCTCCCCAGGCAAGTGGTCACAGCACCAAGCCTGACAGAGTTCAAGCAGCATTTGGGCAACATAGTCTGGGACACACAGTGTGATTCTGGTGGTTGTTCTGTGCAGGGCCAGGAGCTGGACTTGATGGTCCTTGTGGGTCCCTTCCTACTCAGGAAATTTTATAATTCAATAAATTCTGATTCAGCAAGGCAACTCAGCTTAGGGGCAGTGCACCAGCATATGCGTAACTATAAGCTTCAGTTCTACAGAAGCAAGCAAGAAAGTTAAGATTTTTCCTGGTGTAGACTTTGAGACTGACCTGACTTTTTGGGAGACCTTGGATCACTGACAACTGCACTTGACTTCACCAAGGGTTGTGCTCAGTGTCTACAAAGGACTTTTACTGAGATGTCTGACTTCAGATTAAACATATGTATTTGAAAATTTTCCCTGCCCTCCACAAAGTTATGAGAAATCATGCACTAAAGCTAAAAATAACTGGGAGCCTTTTCTGCTATTTATTCCGCAGAGACTAGCATGATAGCAATGCCTCAGTCTGAGGCATACTACTCTGCAGATTTTTGTCTTTTATTACAGTGCTTCAAGCTATTGCAGTCCAACCAGCCTTGGAGACCATACGAATAGTTTGCAAGTGTTTGTACTGTACAGTCCAGACCTTTTGATGTGTGGAAGTCTGTACTTGAGGACCTAACGTGGTCACTTTATATCTTACCTTCCTAGCTACATGAAAAACACCAATGGAAGTGGGAAAGTTTCCAAGAATGAAAGTTGCATGGTAGGCAGCCGATTTTGAGGGTTGGTTTAGATGGTTCAGATTAAGTGCTAATCCTCTCAGTATGTTTTAGCAAAACAATTATTACTGAAATCCTCATTATGATTCTGTGGTAGTTCATCTATGTATCTCCCAAGGATAACGCTGAGATTATTAACAATTAGGTGCTGGACATTTTGTAATTTAAAGGCTGTAACAGCTTTATAATTAAAATGCAAACACAGGAGTAAAATTTTATGTTGTTGAATTGTATGCACCTCGGACAGAATAAAGTTCCACACATTTTAAAGGGTTTGATGTAAAAGTAGCATTTAATTCCAGAAAATCCCTTAATTTGTTTTTGTGCTTGCACAGAATATAAGTTAAATATTTGAAAAAAGAGACAAACCACTTAAAACATTTGAAATTCTGCCTCCACCTTCTCCCTGACTCTGTGCCCTCCATAGCTGTTCTAATCAGCTATGTATCAACATGTCCTCTTACCCTTCTCTCTTCTCTGTCCCTCTCCCTGCATTCAGGCTCTATTCAATCTCATTATGCCTTCATTTAACATATTATTCACACAGAGTCCTTCATCTCTGTCTTCCCTGCTAAAGGCACATTTAACTCTGTAGACCAGAATCAGCACTCTGAAAACCCCTTAATGGAACACAGAACATTATAGAAAGGCCAAGTGCCACACGTTATGCAATAATTACCCATGTAGTTACTGCAATTATACACACCAATCCAGCATGGTGCATGAACCCATCTAGCACTAAAAAGAGGATGATGAACACTGTGGTCTAAGAAACAGGATCACTGCACATTTAACACAGCTGCACATTCACACATGGCCTGCTCTGTATTTATACTTCATAAACTGGTAAGAATGGAGGAGTAAGAGAGGAAGGAGCAAACCAGCAAATCCTAGTTTTTGTCAAAAAAACCCCAAATAAACAGGAAAAGCAGATAGCAAACTTGCAATAAAAGCTACCAACAGCAATTATAAAGCAGTCTGCTATGCTTTTATTAACAATCACCTCTCTTCAGTCAGTAACCTGTGCAGTTTGTCTATTCATCACCAATACCAGTATGCACTTTAGCAGGGCATGTTTTCTAGAGACATCACCCAGAGAACTGATTGAAGAGAAAGCCTTGACTGTTATTTAGAAAGGGTCCCATAACCTGTTTTATACACACATAAATGAGCCTCAACCAAAAAATTATGTGAAGCTTTACATATGAAACACTGAGTTTGACTCTAAATGAAGAAGGCACTAAATCTAAATCAGTGGAAAGAAAATATGCACCAAAATACCAAGCAATCTAGCAAACAGAAGTGGGTGGCATTCTCTTTTCTTTCTCTCCTACTTTTCTCTCCAGACCTACTCTAACACAAATCTTCAAACAAGCAGTGTGATCTGATAAAATATGGAGTGGGTTGCACAGCCAGGGCCATATTTGAGAAACACATAATTAGGATGGTATGCTGTCCCTGCAGGGAGCCCCAAATGCTGGTTTTTTCCTCTATTGTTATGGATTTCTTTGAAAGTGTGGAGACAGAACCCACAGGGGAGAAGTCATAACTGTCTTGGGGCAGAATGACAATTCTTTTTTAATTTCTTCAGCAAGAAGCAACACTGAACTGGATGGAGATGCAGCATTGCCTCGGGCATATTTCTTCCGATGTAGACAATGAATAATAGAAGAAAGATGATATGAACGACTAGTATTACTGCAATTCATTTTCAGTCACAATAAAGCTAGCTACAGAGTCTGGCAATGCTAACTTGCTGCTGGCAACATCATCCCTGCCTTCTTGGGATGAAGAAAGATCTGTAAGTGCATGCCTGATTGTCAAGTTCAAGATGGTGAAAGGAAAAAATTACACATAAGCTCCTAGAGCATCCTGTTGTGCACTCTATTCCATTATGCCCCAATTAAATAACAGAGTCCAAGGTATCAGCCATTTGCTTTAATTTCAGATGTAGGCAGAATCATGGCAGCACACCTCGCTAGATCTCTCAGTACTTGATTCTCAGTCTGATACAAGAAAAGCACGGCTGCAGGAGAAAGTCCATTTGCTGACTCTGTGTGCTTGATCCTACAAATGAATCTGATGTCCCTTAGCAGGAGCTGGGGAACAACATCTCTGAGAAGTCTCTGCTATTCACCACTGACTCTACTCCACCATTCATTCTTTGCTGAACTCTGTAAAAGGGCACTGAGGGCACTACATCAGAGACTAGGGCACTGAGGATTCACCCTCAAGTCCTGTACTTGAGGCAGCAAAACCTTCTGCCTCTACCAGAAGACTCATTTTATTAGAGTCTGCTTCATACTGCCTTGCAGTTCAGGCCATACCCCACACCAGCATGTGTACCCCAACTTCTCCTACCCTCTGAAACACCAGAAGCAGCTGGTCAGTTCAACACACAGATGCTACACACACAGGAAGCAAGAAGAGTCCTATGACAGAACTTTGCTTGGAAACAAGTGGGCAAGAGTCTTCTCACTTCTGCTAACAGAACCACACTAGGACACAGATTCCCCTCTCGGGGCCTAGTAATGCAACCATCAGCCTCTGCACCCTGCCACACCACAGTACACAAAGTCGCTCTTTCACGGTGGAGAAGTAAATTCTTGACAATGTTTGTGAAGTGCCCAACACAGTTCAGTTCCCACCCTGAAGGATACTGCCCTAAGCTACAGCAACATGCAATGACAACAAAGGCAGAGTTTACTTCTTCCATCTCTGCTGCCCTGGGACGTTTAAGGAGAAAACTTAAAGAACAACCAGTTTGTTCTTATGGTAGAAAGAGGTGACAAATACTGGCCTTTCAGCATAGGCTGCACTTTAAACCTCTCAGACCTCCAGAAACACACCACTTGTTCAAATACAAATATATCACACTATCACAAGCTATTGACCTACCTGAGCTTCTGTGGACAACACACCCAAATAGGAACAGAAAACGTCTGGTTATTATAATTAATTACTTACTGTACAAGACATAGGGCAAAAGCATGTCACTGATACCAGAACATAGGATCTTTTCAGCATGTCATTACTTCTGAGGCTGAAGTTCCTTTAGATTTGTCTGCCTCTAATTTATGATGAATCTCTGAACCCTTGCATTCAGTGTCAACAGATGATCACACATTACAGTAGTAATCACTAAAATTATATTACCTTACTCCACCTTTCACAGATGAAAATCAGCATGTGTATCCAGTTCTTATTTCAATAAACTCTGAAAGACACAAAAAGGACAAATTGTTTCTGACTGAATAGATCCAAATAAATAGGTCAGTAGTACAGGAAATTTTGGGGAGGGGAAAAGTAATAAAACACACTAAAAACTTGTAAAAATGCAGACTGTTAACATTTTATAACATAGCTTCATTTGAAATAGAATTCGAACTGTGCATCAGTTCTGAGGAAAGAGAACATAAGAAAAAAGTTGAAAGTGAAATTTCTGTTCTGCCTAAAACAGCTGTCACTATCCTAACATTTCACCCATGGACTGTTCTCAGCCCCCACGGTGACCTTAAGACATGATAATTATTTTGGAAGGGTACTGCTCCAAATTTTCAGTTTTACACTTTCTGAAATGATGCAAATGCTACGCTGCAACCCCACAGAACAGTGCTTTATAGGGGTAAATCAGGAACAGAGGGCACAAGGGCAGCTGGGGTGTTGAAAAGTGCCCACAACCTGCTGGGATGGAGAGTGAGGTGAGGTACACAGACAAAACCAGCACAGTGCTGTCCACATGGGGAAGGGTCCACAGGATGAATTATCTCTACCAACCTGGTCACTACAAAAGGAAATCCAGAAATAAAGTAACACGCAGTATAAAAAAAGGTGGCAGATCAGGATGTGAGAGCAAACTGGAGAGCTAAGTATGGATGAATCTGAAGAATAATTGGCTGGGCTCCAGGACAGTCCAAGACAGCAACCAGTTGAATTCACTAGCTCACCTTCTCAGGATTTTAACTTGAAGGTAAAAAAGAGACAGGTTTCCTCTAATGCAATCCTATTAAAGTTACTATCACCTGTTAGAGCCCAGACATCTGAGCCATACCTCAGATATATCACTTTTTAGATCTTCTTTTTTTTCTAATGCCATGAAACTGGAACCAGCAGCAACTTCGTTTCATGCTTCCAAAAATATTACAGAAAGAAAACAATTATTTATAAGTAATTACTTAACTGCAAACCCACGACAACAACTGACGCACCACACAAACTGGTCATTCAGTTTCACACCTCCACCTCTCTATTTACACTCAGAATTACAGAATAAAAACATTAACTCTGTGTTGGGGAGGTAGCAAATAACTCCATGGATCAAATTTTTTATCCTAAGGCCAAAACACAAACTTTTCAGCTAGTATGCTCTCCAGGGCAAGAGTAAGTATGATTTTCAACCTGAAATATCTGCCATTTTGCTTCAACAGAGCATGTTAGAAATCTGACTGTGGTACCACAAAACTGTGATAAAGCAACAGGTTCCTACATAGGGAGGATGTTTCTCTAGTAAAATGTCTAGATGAGGCAAACAGATAAATATATACAGTAAGATTAAGAAAGCTAAAGCTTTAATTCACAGAAAAATACACTGATAGTCAGAAGCAAAACACTCCTTAAACCATTAAATTCAGTGAAAATTTATACATGAAGCAGTGTTCAGATTTATGATGCAGTAATTAAAATGCAATTCATCAGTTTACAGTGCTGTGTGTAAATAACATCAGTTACACTGCTGTGTAAATAACTGGAAAACCAATACTGGAGAAGAACCGGGACTGAAGTACAAGAAAGAAGTTAAAAAGTACTATGACAAAACAACACACTACAGACTAAAAAGAACTTCCTCTACCATTTGGGAGTTCATCATTTGAGAAAAAACAAGAAGAAGATCTCCGTGCCACACAAGGCAGTCACAAAAGGGGCAGATACTGCATTAGAGTGTACCAGCCAATGTGCTCTTCTCACTACTAAAAGCAGCAATGAAACTAAGTCAGGAACACTGGCTACAATAAGCTAAACACTGTCCATCTCACACCATAACATGTGTAGAGAAAGGCTTAAGAGGACAACGAAGAGGTAGATTCTCTAAAAATTTGGTAAGCTCAGCAAAGTGGAAGCTGAGATGAGTTACAACTTGCTCTTCAGAGATACATGACAAGGGCTAAACACCAGAGAGATGAAAAAAGCGTTAAGATAAATAGGGTGTTAACAAAATAACAAACCTAACTGTAAGAATAGCAACTAAGCAAGCTAGTTTAGCCAAGTAAAAACTTATTTTCCATGTAATAGGAGCTTTATGACTGTTAAAACTAGACTCAACAACTCAAGAATCTCCATCCAGCCCCATCCTTCCTTGCACTCCTCAGTAAACCATTTAAAATTTCTTACAAAATTATACCTCTTCATAGAAGTGGCCTTTAAAGCAGCTCAAGTTTTGCTCTCTTTTCATTGCCCAAGGTGAAGGTAGAACAAACTTGAGGTTCATTTATATGATTGTCAGTTAAGATGAGAAGTTACAAAGCATTTTACTTCCTCTGGCTTTTGAAGAGTCCCTCAGTGAGGACAGAGACATCTGACATTATATGGAGCTCTTTTCAGGGTTAAATGTGATATGCAAATTTTTGGCAAAAAAGTCATATGCTATTTTAAATCACTATTATTTTGCTAAATTCAGTGCAGGTACATAAAGTCCCAATTTGATATCCTTTATAACTTTGACTGTATTTATTTAGTATAGGTTTTTGGGGTTTTTTTTCCATTCTAAAAGCAGGGCATGTACTGTGAAAGCTCCTAGACATCATGAAAGCTACTCACAAGGTAAGCTATTGCCAACCACAATCACAGCATCAAGGACCTGCTACACATTATAATCATGTAATATACCATACAACCATTTACCTTCGGGACATCTAAAATAAATACTTAAATCTGGTCAGTTATTATTCATTTTAATAAAAATTAAGAAATTAACATGGCAGAAATGATAAAGGAATCTAAAAACTCTATTTACAACACTATGACAAAAAATTACAAGTTCTATGGCCACAGGCAAATCTCTTTCAACTCTGTAGCTCAGTTCACATACCAGTAAAATAGGCAAAGTGTGACCTACTAACTACATTGAGTTTCTCTGCTGCCAAGTTATATTCATACCTTGCTCACTACCTTCAGGAAATCACACCCATTTTGCAGAACATTTGCAGTGAGATTAGTGATGTCTTTTGAAAGTGGCCCATCAGCAAGATTCTTAAAAAAATATTGCAACTTCTGCAGAGCAGGTAAAACCTACCTACTGATTACGTCTGCAAATTCTACCCTCCTGCACATGCCCTCCTGCTCTGCACCCCATTCTAAAAGCAACTTTGGTTCTTCAACTACATTTCTATATATTTTAATGGCACTCCAATTCTGGTGCCTGATCAAGAACCATCAAACTGCTAGTTTTAGCCATAACAACTAAACTGTAGTACCTGTCCAGGTAGTAGATGCCCAGAGACTCCAATGGCACTTGCATATGAGCGATTCTAACTGTGCACCAACTCAAGGCCCCCTTTCTCACCCTATATGGTAGAGTTTTTACATTACATTGTCCTGGAACAGCAGTAAAACCATTGCAGAGTTTGGTAATGCACTGCTGCAGACCACACTAAAGCACCATTTTGTTGACATGTCCTGCCTCTGGCCTTCTGCATTAAGAGACAATGACAGGAAAAAAAAGACTCTATTAAACACTGCAGCATGGTTTTGCTTATTTAAAACCATACAGAAATTATTTTGCAATCAACTGGTGACGGCAGTTTAAACCCTAAGTGCTCACTGCTGGATTTTAAAAGCCACTCAGATCCTTTACTGTAAGGAAATGGTATCTAGTGAGACTTTCTTTCCTCCCCAATCGCCTGTACTTGCAACAAGGGTTTCCACACAAATTAAGGAGAACACCTGTTCTCAATCAAATCTGCCACACCATTATTCCAAAACACTGCCGAAAATGAAGCTTGTGACACTATTTTCTGTGGAGAAACATCAAAGTGTTATAAAAAACAAACATAAAAATAACAGGGAGTATATATACTTCCACTGGAAATCCCTCACTTTCTCCTCCACCCTCCCTTCTTCCCTCTTTCTGACTCACTGGACAGCAGCTAAATCATTCCAAGAAGTAAGGAATGACTAATCCTTTTCCATCGAAATTAAATGTGGTGACAACATCTCTGAAGGGTACCTGCAACCCATGACACCAGGTTTGATTTTGTCTATTAGTTAAACACAGAAAAACAAAGCTACTTTGAGCCTAGCTTTGATAGCTTTTATCCAAGTACACTCCAACAGATGTGCTATTTCCATGAGAGCTGAGCCAACCTAAGCTATTGTCTCCCATTGCTTGTCCTCACTTTTCCCCTTCTCCTGTCTGTCAGCAAAATGGTATATGTTGGTATGTTGGTATGTTGGTATGACCTCAGCTTCTCAAAGAAAAAAAAAAAAAAAAAAAAAAAAAAGACAGAACTGAGATGGGGAAGGACTGTTCAGATTTGAGGAGCAAGAACCTCTGAAGCAGACAAGCAGTTGAGGATGAACCACACGACTGTAGAGCTGCAAACTAATAATGCTCAATCCAAGCAAGTGGTCAGGCCCGACGTAACTCAGAGCACATTTCCTGTAAACGTATTTTAAAGGCTCATGTTTTCAATAATCAGCCTACAAACCCAGGCAGCACGTTCTTTTTCTAGAACAAAATACCTATGACCCCTGCTACAAGTCACAAGCAGACAGAAAGCAGAATACAAGGTGTGTCGTTCTGTGCTCTGTCTGATCTTCTCCTTTGCCTTGTGGCAAATAAAATACAGAATTCCTAAAGTCTTCTACAAACTACATACGATTTGTGTTTGCAGAGCCATTGTACTGTCTACTCTTTTATATGGGTCTGAATCATGGGTCATTTACCGCCACCACTTGCAACTCTTAGAACACTTCCATCAGCGCTGCCTCCGTACAATCCTTAACATCCACTGGACTGACTATGTGTCCAGCACATCTATCCTTGAACAGGCAGCAGTCACGAGCATTGAGGCCATGCTGCTGAGAACTCAGCTGCATTGGGCAGGGCACATCTCCAGGATGCAGGACCATCGTCTCCCTAAGATCGTGCTTTATGGGGAACTTGCCACTGGCTGCCGCAAGAGAGGAGCCCCAAAGAGGAGATACAAGGACTGCCTGAAA